CTTTTATCTAACATTTAGCTACTTTAGCTTTTAATTTACCTGGTTTAAAACGAGCATTTTGCTTTTTTACCTTTTAGCCAGTGTTTTGCTCCTTTTAGTTAGTATTTTAGCTTCATCTACACAGCTTCGGCTGTCTCTGCTCCTGAGTTGAGGCAGAGCTGTGTTTTTATCACCCAGATGAGAGAAGATGACAGGGTGGCGATCCACGAGGCTATGGAGCAGCAGACCATCTCCATTGCTAAGGTATGTAAAGAAAACCACCGCTGCGGCACTTGTGAGGCGGTTACCATGGTAACTAACATCCGGGCTCCTCTCAGGCGGGCATCACCACCACCCTGAACTCCCGCTGCTCCGTGCTGGCCGCCGCCAACTCTGTGTTCGGTCGCTGGGACGACACGAAGGGAGAGGACAACATCGACTTCATGCCCACCATCTTGTCCCGCTTCGACATGATCTTCATCATCAAAGACCAGCACGACCAGCAGAGAGACATGGTGCGGCGGCTGGAGGGCTCAGCTCATCAGCCCAGCAGGGGATACTGGCACCAAGTCTAATGTGTGAATTATTTTCCAAAGACGCTGGCTCGGCACGTGATGAACGTCCACCTGAGCGCTCAGACGCAGACCGAGGGCGTGGAGGGCGAGATTCCACTGGCGACGTTTAAGAAGTACATCGCCTACGCCAGAACGTGAGTCCACCCCGGGGAGCTTGTAGCTTCTTTGAGGTCCACTGTCGGGCGCTTGGTGGTTCAAATCTTTGCCATGTTGTGCGCTCACAGGAAGTGCGGCCCTCGGCTGTCTGCGGCAGCTGCTGAGAAGCTGAAAAACAGATATGTGGTGATGAGGAGCGGCGCGCGGGAGCACGAGCGGGAGTCCGACAAACGCCCCTCCATCCCCATCACGGTCCGGTACGTCCAGCTGCTACAGTTTCACAACGATAGAAATAAAAGTGTTTATGAAGCATTCACACTTTTATGATCCATTCGTCTTCTGTATGTTTTTCAGCGTCTTTCTCGTTCCACAATTTTTTTGTTATTTCAACAAATCATAAATCAAAATGTTCAGCTCTTTCAGGACAAACCTGCTCTGACTTTTGGTGTTGGTGCAACTTTAGCTTTTTGAAATATTTAGCCTTTTGTGACTTTTTTTTTCTCATTGCAAATGAACTGAGCTCATTTTACATCCTTCAAATCTTTAGATGCGTTTACAACATTTTACTGCTCCTTTCACATTTTCTTCTGCTTCAGCTTGTTTCAGCTTCCTTCTGCAAATTTAGTTTTTTAAGCTACTTTCAGCAGTTTATTCAGCTGTTTTGTAATCCTTTTCAGATTCTTTTTAAACACATTTTTGTGCTTCTTCCAATTCTTTCCGCTAATTTCAGCTTGTTAAACTCCTTTCAGCTTATTTATAAAAGTTTCAGCTTTTTCTGCTATTTCAGCTATTTAGCTGTTTTTATGCTAACTTAGCTATTTTGGCTAATTCCACAACTTTTTTGCTCTCCAACTTTTTTTCAGCCTAATTCAGCTAAAATGTGTTCTCTCTATTTCATTCTGGTAATCTAAGCTTCTTTCTGCTTTTTCAGCTACTCCTCAGCTATTCTTTGCTAATTTCAGCTTATTTAGCTAATTTACTGATTTTTGTGCTAATTTCTGCTTCTTTAAACCAAATTCAGCAAATGTGTTCTTTCTGTTTTCTTCTGCTACTTTAGGCTTGTTCTTCCATTTCAGTTAGATTTTAGCTGTTTTTCAGCAATAAACACTGCATTTTTGCAGGAAATGCAGTTTCTCTAGTTTTGTTTTACTCCACATACATTCCACAGCGTTTAGTAATTTTATTTATATTTTTTAAATCAGGCAGCTGGAGGCCGTCATTCGCATCGCTGAGTCTTTAGCCAAGATGAAGCTGCAGGCTGTGGCCGGAGAGGCGGAGGTGGACGAGGCCCTCAGACTCTTCCAGGTTTCCACGCTGGACGCCGCGCTGTCGGGGAGCCTCACAGGTATGTTTCACAGCGGCACACTGGGGTAGGTTTTATATCCACTGGATATAAAAACAAGCCGTTTTCTTTTTTTTTTCACCCATATTGTTTTACCAAGTTCAGCTCATCTCCACCGTTTCCTGCTGCTAACTCTGTCCTAATGTTTCTTCTCAGGAGTGGAGGGCTTCACTTCCCAGGAGGACCAGGAGATGCTCTCTCGTATCGAGAAGCAGCTCAAGCGACGCTTTGCCATTGGCTCCCAGGTGTCGGAGCACAGCATCGTCCAGGACTTCACCAAGCAGGTCAGTGGGAGGACAAACCAGAACTAATGAGGAGCTGCTCGTCCATTTACATAAGAACCCTAAATAATGCCCATCTGGATTATTACGTCCCCTTTTCTGCTTTTTACTAACGCAGATCTAGTGAGCTTTTAAATCTGAGCGATTAACTCCCATTCACATGATTTTTTTTCTTGCCTTTACATTTTCAGAAATATCCAGAGCATGCCATCTACAAAGTCGTCTACCTGATGTTAAGAAGGGGGGAGCTGCAGCACCGCATGCAGAGGAAGGTCCTCTACAGAGTCAAGTAGAGCCAGCTGGGCTCTAATGCATAACCATGTTGTTGTAAATAGTTTAGGTCAGTTTTTGTTGAACTTGAACAGTAAGAGGTGGAGATGAGCTGAATTTTGGCTGATATGGTGGGTTTAATGTGTCTGAGGCGGTAACGATGCTTTGTGTCAACCTAGATGTGTTCTGTCTGTAAGAATAAATAAAAAATAAACCAATAAGACTTTAATTGTGATCATGTCTAAATTTATTCAACATAAATGACAGAGAAGTGAGTTACAGAGCGTATAAACGACGAGCCTTTGTTCTGATTGAGTCATTTCAGTGTCTAAAGTGCCTTTTAGCTTCGTATTGAGGTTAAATGCAGCCGAACTACAAGACGTACATTCCTGCTCCGATGGTGGCCAGTGTGAGGCACAGTCCCACTGTGAACTGCATGATGGGAGAAGCTGGGAGTCTGGAGGTTTGCAGGCTGCGTTCTGATTGGTCCGCAGTTTCGGTGGCGATGCTCAGCATTTTCTGCAAGTCGTCAAAAACCTAAAGGGGCGGGGGAAAAATGAGAGTTACTCAAGTTCTCAGCAGAACCTGCTTGTTTTGCAAGTATGAGTTTCAGATCCTCTGCCGAGTTCAGAGACAGGAAGTTCGTTTTTGTTGCTCGTTCTGGTCACGATTGTTAAAAATATGCCGTCCACATCTTTAGAAAAACAACGTTTAACAAAACAAGGAGTAGTTGATGAGTTTTGCTGTATTTTGTGCAGCGCAGGTGAAATTTACTGTAAAGATTTCCTCTTTGATTTTTATCTCAAACCCAACCCACAGACATCCATTAGAAACGGCCCCCAGAAACCAGTCTGTCACCGGCAGACTGGTTGGTCCACTGTGTACTGCTTGGTGGGGAAACAGTTTGTTAGGGACTTCTCAGACTGATGAAGCCCTCTGGATGGAGAGTGAAACATCTCGACAACAAAGAAACTGTCCGGGTGACCTGACTGAACCCTGTTGGATGTTTTCCCTGGATTATTAGCATGAACCTTCATGTCATGTTAGAAACAGTTCAAAGTTGAAACGGGTCACTGGAAGATTTCAATCTGTTTGTTTTTTAAAGTTTTGCAGTTGATCGTTTACCTCAGTGTGATGTCATGCCAACTTAATTTTTTGCACAACCTTTATTTTTCTTATACAGTTTATTCAAGAGATGGAGGACGTTGTTACTTTCACTCGGTGTGTCTTATTACTGTAGGACGTGGTTTTCACACAAATCCCCTCAGAGTGCAAACATCCAAACTTTTTTTTTAAATTAATTTTGTTAAAATAACTATATACAATAAAAAACAAAATATGTATACAATCAAAAATAAAATGAAAGGCAGCAGAAGAAGAATAAATCTTATATCTGCCCCTTTTTGCTCAGAATATATTCAAACACAAGTAATTTACCAAAAAACGAAGCTAAATAAAAACATCAATTCAAACAAAACTTGTATAGATATACTTTTCCATGTTCCTTTAGAAAATTAACGATCATTGACTTAAAAAATGTTCAAGACTCAAAATCTGTGTCAGACTAACAAAGACTAATGAACCCCTATTGTGAGGACCGACAGGGCAATCTGCATATGTATCTAGCTTAGTTAGGTTTATAACTTGAACCCCACACTCTGTTCTTTGAGTTAAGAAAGCTCCTCGGATGAAAAGTGAAACGTCTTCAGTTACAAAAAGAAGTCCAGTTGTTTTTGTTTTGAACTTTTTTGAATTTACCGTGTCCTGGACGACTGAGAATCTTCACCAGCGTTTCATCGACTTCCATCTAATCTGAGCTCAGACTTTATAAAACTGGAAGCAAAACTTCCTTTTTAATGTTATATTTCCTACATGAATACTGGAGAGTGTGAGGACTAGACTGTCTGAGGCTTATTTTCTACTCTGTGTTTCTGCCTGTCTTTAATAGTGTTGTCGGGGAGTGGAAGACAGAAGTGTGGTTACCATGGCAGAAGCGTTGACATTTCTTTCAGACACCATATTGGCAGCTCAGATTATTACAAATATATATCCCTCTCTAAGAAGAAAGGAGATGTTTGTAGGACTTTCAGGCTGTCGCTGAGTTTTATTTGCAGCTGTTTTATGTTCTGCTCACCTGGATGTTCAACTCAAACGCTCCCACGGCCTCCTCCAGCACCGCCGCCCTCTCCGCCTCGGTCAGCTCTATGCTGTTCATCCGGCTCCTGTACAGCTGCTTGAAGCGGTTGGGGCTGCTCACGCCGGGAAACGAGAAGAACGACAGCCCCTCCTTGCTGCTCAGCCCCAGTGATTTCTGGGTAATTTTCCCCAGCACCTGTCCACCTGAGAGGTCGCCGAGGTAGCGAGTGTAGGCGTGGGCCACGAGCAGCTCAGGGTTCTCTCTGCCAATCTGCAAAAGATAAGTAAATAAATAAAATGTGTTCAGCTGCTTTGATTGACGGGTACTTAAAACCAGTTTACCCACCTCCCGTAGTCTCTGCTCATATCTGTGTGTGGCTGCAGGGACAATCACTTTCTTCTTCCAGTCCGAGCCCAAGAAATGCTCCAGGTCTGATCTCAGGGATTCCAGACGGGCGAGCTCCTGAGGGAAGTATATGGGAGCAACAGCTGGATGGGACGCGTTCCTGTCCAGCTCTTCTTCCAGAGCCTTGTAGATGTTATACAGGGAGCACAGCAGGACCTGAGCGGGACACCAGAGGAACGTCTCACTTGGGGACAAATCGTAAGAACAACAGAAGAGACGCGCCCTTTGAGTTGAGTCATGTTACCTTGTACTGTGGCAGCGTGATCTGTCCCTTCTGGTAGCTGAGCATCAGCTGTGTATTTTCCGCCCTGACATGGTTGTCCATAGTGGCTGCTTTAATCTGCTCGGACAGGTCGCTGAGGGTGCAACACAACTCATCAGGTCCTTACAGAATGCTGATGTCACTGTGAGACGTCCAGGTGTCTTACCTGCCTGCTTCACCCGAGTCGTTTCTCCTGGCGCTCTTCATGTTCTCCATCTGTGCAACTAAAGTCCAACTCTTTCACAAGTTTGTTCAGCGCACTTCATAAATCTACGTTAACAGGTGTGACTCGCGTTCTCAGTCCTGGCTGCACACTGGACGTGTCTCTTCTCTGCGACGTCTCTGCTGTGGTTCTTCAGGTCCCTCTCGTCTCTTTTATAAGGCCCGAGGCTGCAGAGTCAGACGGGAAGTGTGACTGCTGCGTCACGTTCCTCCAGCTGCTGCCACTCCACATGACAGAGCAGATGTGGCAAAGCATGACAAGGCAGAACGCCAAAGCATGACACGACAGTGCTGGGTTTTTAAAGTGAGAAAAGGTTACGAAGAGTTAACATCTTACCTGTTGTAGATAACTCTTTTAACAACCTGAGCTTGGAGAAATGGAGCTTCATTTTGATACGAATGATGAGTTTAATGGATTGTTGCTGTCCAGAAACAACTCTAAGCTACACAAGTTTAAAAACTGCTCATTTAAACAGACATTTGGAGGAAAATAAAGTTTTTGATTAAGTTATATCTTGTTTTTGGAAATGACAGAGTTGTTGTTTAGGTAACATTTTAAAAATAATTATTTATATGCATAATGTCTCACAATATCACAAGACGTTGCATTCAAACTGTGTGTTGTAAATGACTCTCAGCTACTACCACATCATATTTTAGCTCCGCATTTGTAAATCTGACTGAGTTATAGCCATATTTGGATTGGGTAAGATGTGGCGGCCATCTTGAATAAGATGTTGTAGATGCCCATCAGATGATTACAGTAAATTTTCAGACTGAAGGTCAGGGATGAGTCTCCTCTACTACCACACTAAATTTAAGGTCTATAACTGACCCAGGTACAACCTTCTTTAAGGTCAGTTAGCTGGGGCGGCCATCTTGAATTGGACTGATGTCAAACGGCGATCAGCTGCATCTGTACCTCCTTTGATTACTTCATAACAGTTTTATTTAAAGCTGTCAATTGGTTTATATTTATATGTTTTGCTATATATTATATTTTGCTAACAGAAGCGCAGATACTTACACGGGCAAAACCATTGTTTGCTTTGGTGGCAGGTAAAAAACACTAATAAAATGATGGGAATACACTTTCAAAACTGTTAAGCTTTACTACTAATCACAGTGATTTTAATGAGGGCAGCAGTGGCTGAGTGGTTAGAACAGTCGTCCTTCAATGCGAGAGCTGGGGGTTCAATTCCACCAGCAGTCACAGGCTTAAGTGTCCCTGGGCAAGACACTGAACCCCTCATTGCTGCCGATGTGTTCCATCAGTGTATGAATGTGATAAAGCTCTGATTAGTCTTTGTATAGATCTAGTAGAGTGCTGTATGAATGGAGAGGACACAGATTGTGTTGTAAAGAGTTTTGAATGTCTTGATAAGATAGAAAGGTGCTATAAGTGCAGTCCATTTACCATAATTTATATTATTTTTAATATTTAACAACACCAATAGTTGTCATATTTTAACTACATTTACATTAAATGTAATATCATATTTGTATAAATATTAATGAATATGATTACTCAAATAAACTCAAGTGGTTAAAATGTAAAACATATTTAAACTTTTATCAGAAACTGTTTACCATTATTTTTTTAATTTAATTTTATTTGTATGCATGTTTGAAACCAGGAACTGTGAGTAAAGTGATAAAAACCAACCTCAAGCTCATTTTAATTCACATGCTTTAAAATGCACAGAAGATAATAAATAAAATGTAATATATATCATGTGTATTTAAGCTTACATTACTATCTGTTTACTATAATTCTTCTGGACCTTGTAAATATTATATTCATTTTTCACATTTTGGTACTTTAATTTGTACCCGTATTGCATGCTTTAATATTTCTTGTTTTTTGTTTGTTTTGTTTTTAGCAAGTCGAATCGGTTTCATCCTGAACATTTCATTGCATTTTTTTACCTTGTCTTAACCTGCTCATGATAAATAAACAACATGATTTAACACGAGAGGATTATGTCCAAGTTGGTAATAAAACAAATAAATAAATACTTTCAGATTTCTGAGGTTCAAAACAAGATTCTGACTTCAGACTTTTCAGAATTCTGAGAATAAAATCAGAATGTTGGGATTAAATTTAATTTACAGTCAGGATTTTGACTGTATTTAAAGTTGAACTGGACCTAATCGCTTTCCGTAGAAATATGACCCACTTCATTTTAGTGATGGTATTTTGTAACCACGCCCCTTTATGGAAGCCGCTCGCTGGTTTTTCTCCCCCGGGATGAGGTGGTCTGTGTCTGTGGAGGTTTACTGAGGGTTACATCAACATGTCCCACAGTGTCCGACTCCGGATTTATTTGACGCTCCAGCTGTTGGGCGCGAGACAGCGGCAGGTATAAGAAGGTAACGTCTCCATCTTTGTTGTTGAACATCTGTCTCGCGGCGGCAGCGCCACCGTCCATCCCCAGCAGGGCGACGGAACGTCGGCGGGGGAGTTCATGGAGAGCCGGGGGAGACTTGTTGTCCTCAGAGCTCGGGGCTCCGCCTGGTTGTCCTCCGTCAGGTCGCTGACGTGCAGCTCTGCTGTCTGTTCAGTCTCAGAGAAACAAGGAGTTTGTAGTTTGAATCCAGGTGCTAAAGGGAGCTAACGTAGCCCCCAGTGGCTCAGGCAGTTTTATGAGAGGGTGAATTTACAAATTATATCACCAGAGAGTGTTTTATATCAGTGGATTTAGTGTGTGATGATTTATCTAATTGCAATGACTTAATGACTTGGCTATAAATTTACAAGATTTTTATGAATGGATGTACTAAGATATAAATGTAATATGTGTAATGTATTATTTTACAATACCATGGACTGGGGGTATGTGCACTAAAAAGTTCCTAACCTTGGACACTGTTTTGATGTAAAAAATTATGAACTGGGCAATATGATCTAAAACTAATACTAGAATATTTGGAGGGTTATAGTGTAATACACAATATGTAGTATATTTTGAAATGTTACAGTGAACATCATTAAGCTTTAACCTGCCGTCATATTTGACCTAATTTGCAAAATTCCAAACACATAGTTAATAGAGAGGAATATTGAGCAGAACACAGGTGACATTGTTGTGTGTGTGTTTTAGCAAGATGTCTGTGAAACACAAGATAATGGAACTCTCAGAAAGTAATCATCCATCCATCATCTTTGTCCGCTTCTTCCTTTTCAGTCGCAGGGGTCACTGGCGCCCATGTCCAGCTATCACTGTACGAGAGACGAGGGACACCCTGGACATGTCTCCAGTCCATCACAGGGACACAGACGAACGAGACAAACAACCATTCACTCTCTCACTCACACCTAGAGACAATTTAGAGTTACCAATCAGCCTAAGATGAATGTTCTTGGTGTGTTGGAGGAAACTGGAGCACCTGGAGAAAATCCACGCGTGCACGGAGAGAGCATGCAGACTCCACCCAGAAAGGCCCCTGGCCTGGATTTGAATCTGCAACCTTTTTGCTGAGGGGCAACAGCTTTACCAACTGTGCCACCGTGCTGCCATTATCAGAATCAATATCAAAAAAGTACAGGTAAATGACATTAATGATGATTAAATGCGTTACATTCCTGACTGTACAGTGATGTCACGGAATGGTTCCAAAGTTTAACCAGCGTGTCACCTGTCCCAAAGCGACTTGAGCTTTTAGAAATGCAGCGAGGCGGGGAGGAGAACTCACCTCAGCTGGGTTGACTTGGAGCTTCAACACATTAAATATCTGATGGATGTCTCCCTGGGCAGCACGGTGGCACAGATGGTAGAGCTGCCGCCTCTCGGCAAACAGGTTACCCCGGTTCAAATCCCGTCCGGGGGCCTTTCTGGGTGGAGTTTGCATGTTCTCTCCGTGCATGCGTGGGTTTTCTCCAGGTACTCCAGTTTCCTCCCACAGACCAAAAACATGCATGTTAGGCTGATTGGTAACTCTAAATTGTCTCTAGGTGTGAGTGAGAGAGTGAATGGTTGTTTGTCTCGTTTGTCTCGGACTGGAGACCTGTCCAGGGTGTCCCCCTTCTCTCGCACAGTGATTGCTGGACATGGGCACCGGCGGCCCCCGTGACCCAAAATGGAATAAGCGGGTAAAGATAATGGATGGATGATTTTAACTATATCATACCTTTTTGTTTTTCAGACTTATACTCTGTTAAAGAGAATAAAGTACATAGTTACTTTTGTTTTGTGTTCCTAAAATAGGTTAGAGTTAGTGATGGGCAAATGAAGCTTTAATGAAGCACTGAAGCTTGCTTCGTAAAAGGGTTCATTGCTCAAAGCTTTTCAAAACTGACCTCTTTAGCTTCATCTTGTGGCTAAAAGTATAAAGAGCTGCTTGAAAAGAATCGCTTCCTTGTGGTTGTCCAGCTGACGGAGCTGACAGCTTGTGCTTAATATCCTGAGACATTTCTCTGATGTCAGGCTGCCACTGAGGGGCTTTGAACATTATTTATTTTGTAGGTGAATAAAGTGATGGTTATTTGGTGAATAAATAATTTTGATGAATAAATAAAACATGGCATGATGCTCCTTTTCTTGTGACTTCTTGACATTTGTAAACAGATAAAAATAAGTAAATCACATCTAATTCACAACACAATGCCATTCTGGAATGGTGCTTGTGTTGCAAGTTCCCTGCCTCCATGACTTTATGAACAAGTTCATGTTTACAGGAGTCCCTCATAGGTGAAAACCATGAAGTAGAAAGGCTATATTTATTTTAGTATTTATTTATATTTTAAGGCTTTATAAACCCTTCCCACACTCCTGTAATGTTCTAAACTCTTAAACCTACATCATTTTAACGACTTGCGTACATGTACTGTACTGCAAAATTTTACTCACCAGCTCTGAGACCAGCAGCTCTGTTCCGGACCGACGCAGTTCCGGTCCTGCAGACCTACCCTGCAGCATGAAGCCCACCGCCCCATCCAGGTTGATGTGCACGTGGATAATTGAGCTTCAGGGTTATTTGTGACTTTCCTGCCAGTTCTGTGAGCTTCATATAGATTGTTACTTCAGACTTTGCGTTGCAAAACTTTCCCTCCGTTTCAGCAGAAGACAGCAGCTGGAAGCACTGTTGGCTTCTGGGTAGTGTAGTTCTTTTGATCTGCGTTACAGTGAAGGCT